TCTCTCTCTCTCTCTCTCTCTCTCTCTCTCTCTCTCTCTCTCTCTCTCTCTATCTCTCTCTCTTTCTTTCTCTCTGTCTCACTCTGTCTCTCTGTCTCACGTTGTCTCTCTCTTTCTGTCTCTCTCTTTCTCCGTGTTTGTAGGTGTGTATCTCCCAGCCCACGCATTATCTTTAGCCGCCCCTCCCCTGGCATTCTCGCTGTGTGTGTGTGTGTGTGTGTGTGTGTGTGTGTGTGTGTGTGTGTGTGTGTGTGTGTGTGTGTGTGTGTGTGTGTGTGTGTGCATTAATGTATATATATTGCATGAGAAGAAAGGAAGTAGTAAGAACGGTTTTTGAAAAATGGGAATTCCAATGTAAAGCGCATTGAGCTACTTTTTTAAAAATGCGCCATATAAATGTTATATATTATTATTATTATTATTTCCTCCCCATTCGGGATTGGATAATACTTTTAAGGCGTTGAGAGCACTCTGACACCTCGTCTTTAGGTCTTTCGAGTGTGGCCGGAAAGAAAGTTTATTGTCGAAGATTACACCCAGGAAACGAGCTTGTTTTTTAACCTGAATTTTCTCTCCAAACAAATATAAATCTGGTTGTCGCGCACAAGTTTTGTGCGACAAACAAAAATGTACACAGTTTGTTTTTGTTGTATAAAATTTGAACCCGTGCTCGTTTGCCCAAGTTTCCAGTTTATGGAGTTAAAGCTGAAGCTGACGTTCAATGTGATCTATTTTGGATTTGGATTTAAAGCAGATCAGGAAGTCGTCAACGTAAAGTGAGCAGTCAATATTGTTTTGAAGGGTTTTTGTGATGGAATTGATTTTGATTTCGAAAAGAATGGGCGATAAGATGCTTCCCTGGGGGACACCTTCTTCTTAGGTGAGTAAATTTGATAGGGTTGAACCTACTTTCACTTGAAATGATCGATCTTTCAAAACGTTTCGTATAAATTCGGGAAGATTTCCGCGTAAGCCCAAGTCATGCAGGTCTTTTAAAATACCATGTTTCCATGTGGTGTCGTAGGCTTTTTCTAAGTCGAAAAAAAAATATAGCCACAAAGTGCTCTTTTCGAATGAAAGCTTCCCGAATGAAAGTTTCAAGTCGGACGAGATGGTCAATAGTAGAGCGATTTTTGCGAAAACCGCATTGGAAATTGGATAAGGAGTTTGAGGTTTCGAGAAACCACATAAATGTTTGTTAATAAGTTTTCCCATAGTTTACAGAAACAGTTTGTAAGGGCTACGGGCCGGTAGTTTGATTGGTTAGAGTGATCTTTTCCTGGTTTTGGGATTGGTATAATAGTGGCTAGACGCCAACAGTTTGGAAAATGTTGACAATGCCAGAGTTCATTGTAAATATCAAGGAGTAATAGGAG